TCATTCATTCATTCCATGACACCGGCGCTGCACAACGGCCGACTCGTTTGGAATAACGCCAAGGGGTCTTCAACGCCCCCCACCCCCCGCCACCCCTCCCACGATTAACTCGTTGCGTAATTTGTGGTAAATACAGCCGCAGTAGTAGCTAGCGTGGCCTACCGGATGCGAATAGCGAAACTTGGCAACACACGCGGCGAACGCGACACCACCACCATCACCAGCACTCGACAATGCCACCACCAGAGGTGGGACAAAGTCATTGTTATGCAAGTCCAAGTCGAGTCTGAAGTCATCAAATTCATGACTCGAGTCTGACTCGAGTCCAAGTCACATGACTCGAGTCCACACCTCAGAGGTGGGACAAAGTCATTGTTATGCAAGTCCAAGTCGAGTCTGAAGTCATCAAATTCATGACTCGAGTCTGACTCGAGTCCAAGTCACATGACTCGAGTCCACACCTCAGAGGTGGGACAAAGTCATTGTTATGCAAGTCCAAGTCGAGTCTGAAGTCATCAAATTCATGACTCGAGTCTGACTCGAGTCCAAGTCACATGACTCGAGTCCACACCAGCCACCACCGCCCCCAAAATATCTCGACAAGTCTATGACGGACAAGATAGCAAACCGCTGTAGTCGGCGCTCCGTCAACGGATGAGAAAGACTAGCAAAACGACAAAACCTTCTCTCTCTCTCTGCTGAAGCCCTCTCGTCCTGGCTAGCAGACCTCCATATCGGCATTCAACTCCTGAACACATCGCCAAAGGCAAGACTAGAACAACAGCTGTGCAGTGCGGTCCTTGTTTAAACCCCAAGGTCTCCTCCGCCTTACAAAAGTGAAACCCCTGCGTGGTTCTCAATGGGCTCTTAGCTGCTCGTACAAAACACCGCAACCCGCGCGCGCGCGCCTTGCCCGAGAGCGAGAGAGGGAGCTGCTAAATCTCGCCGTGGCCCGTAACCCGACTTCCACTCTCGCTTCTCACTCGGTGCGACTGTTGTTGCGATCGCAGCCCCCGACTTGGGTGAAGGTGTCGGGGTTCGCAAGCGACGCGTCGCCAGCAAAGAGCTCCCTGCAGCCCAGATCTCAGTCCACCAGCGGGCGAGTCTCATCCACGGGGACAGCCGCAGCCGATCTGCCACAGAGGCCTCGTTTTAGAGAAAAACCCGTGGACGGATTCTGGGCTGAGTCACTCAACCCCTGACCAGGATTTGAGTTCACAACAAGTGGCGCCACCGAGCCAGATTCCTCGATATTAAGGGCATTGTTATGATAACAACAACAATCATTGACAGACCTTTCTCAATCCACTGCTGGATAAAGACCTCCCCACGTCGTGGTTTGCACGGGATATTCATTTCCACCAAACTCAACCACGCTGGTGAGTGCTGGGCGGTGAAGACGTTTGGCAGGATCGCGTCCGATATCATTTTGCCACTGATGTTAGCCGTGACTGGGAATCCTGCTCGGCTCTCCTTCATAACCAAAGTGCAGCTCGCTAACCAACGTCCCACCGCTTCACCTCTTGTTGTATGACTCGTCATTGTTTCGCGAGAGGGCAGCTCGTCCCACGGACAGGGTCACAGGGACGCTTGCAGACTCGTTCTTCACCCGACCCTCGCCAGCCACTCGACCACTCGCTCACCTAACGCGGCTTGCAGAGAGCGAGTGGGCACGTACTCATGTATCGATTCGAAACGATTCAAAGGCTCACGACGATACATGCGTGGGATAGCGCGAGTTGGAGCTGGTGATTCGCGGGTCGGTGACGGTCGGAAGGAAGGCGACGGGACAAACGAGACGGGGATTGGAGACGAAGCAGACGAAGCAGGACAGCACAGGCGAAGTGCAAACTTCATGTCGAATGTAAACACACAAATGCACACAGCATCATCGATTATTGAACGCAATCGCGATTCCCATTTAATCGAATCGCGCCGGAAGGTGCGGCGGAGGGAAGGGGGCGACTCATGGGCCCGGACTCGAACTCAGATGGCCGCGTTCAAAGCGCAGTGTGCCAATCACTGCGCCACCGCTCCACCCTTGGCACAGCGACCTCACATTGCTGTCACATGTCAACTGTGATTAGTAAGGAATCCGAATTCGTATCTTCCATCCACGAATGGCGTGTAGTTCTTCCCGGTGAGCAGTTTCACCGAGTGAACGAACGCACATCAAGCACACCGAGTGGTGGAGGCGCGAGGCGTGGCACGCGTCCGTTGTGCCCCCCCCCCTCCCCCCCTGTGTTTAGCCAGAGGCCGCTGGGACTGCTGCTGCTGCTGTCACACATGTGGTGTCACGCAGGTGGTGTGACAGTTCGAGGCACCAGTTGCCGGCTTATCCCAGGAGCAAAAGTAGCTACTGCATATGTAGCAGCTACGAGCCCCGCACTTTCAAGGGCCCCGCGCTAAATGCTTCCAAAGCTATCTATTCCGGTTCAGTGATTCTGCACTTACTATAGTACTATACAACTTTTATGAACGACCGGGTGTTTAAGGTTAGCGATTTGCCGTATTATCTGATTGTATAGCAAATACAAAAAATACAATTAATTTACCATGCAAGTTCAAAAATTGTGTTTTAATATTTACGTGTTTTTTTTATTTTTCTATAGGGCCCCTTTATAACATATGCTTGTAGGCCCGGCACTCGCTAAAATCCGGCACTGCTCGGCACTGCAGTGATAGTTCTCCGGGCACATTGATACTCCGGGCTCCAGCCAGAGTGATTTTGCCGTCGTTCCCGCGGCGTGTGGGCACTGGCGATAGCATCGCGAAGTTTGCAACAGAAGCGACGAGACTCCCAGCGTAGACACGCAACCCAAGTCGACAAAGATCCCACCCCCGTGTAGCCTGTAACAGACTGTTGGGGCAAGTGCTGTTAGCGAGTAGCACCTGTGAAGGCCGGCACGGCACACGAGGGGGTGGGTGGCCAGCACCAGTGGCGATGCTTACACATCGCACCAGGTACTCATTTGAGGCTGAGTAGACTTAGGGGAGGCCCAGAACCTGTTCAGAAAATCGTCACTGCTGTTGGTGGCCGTGAGCGCGAATCAAAACTCGGTTCGCCGGGTTCGTAGCGCAGCGCGCTCACCACTGCACTATCGGCTCCCCCCAAATCAACACACAACTCTTGTCTTGCCGCTACTACACCAGCCGAATTGTGTGGCCCGCGATATATTTTTTTACGCGAGTTTAATCGAAGCTTCGGACATTAGAGGGGTGGAAACAGACACTTCAACAACTGAAATATGACATATTCTTAGGTTTTTTCGGTAAAGTCACGTAGGTAAAACATCAAAAATAAGAAAAAATAAAATAAAGATCACGACGTAATTTTGATGTTTTACCTACGTGACTTTACCGAAAAAACCTAAGAATATGAATCCTTGCAGTCACGAAAGCTTCAAATCTGAAATATGACAGCCAAGCGCGTCATCATAGCGCTCTGCCAACGCAATTATCGATCTCCTATAGAATACGTTTTGGGGTGCACATCGGTCTCCACGAGGAATGCAAGAGTCGTGTCCGCTCTCGCGTGGTGAGATAAAGCGCGTGCTTCAAGTGTGAGACGCAGGGTGCCTGTGCGAGTTTCTGCACGTGCGATGCGTGTGTGTGTACATTACACACGCGTGGGTCTCTTAGTCTTTGACCGCGTGGGGAGTGGTGGTTCGCGTGTATGCCGGCCGTCTGGGTTCTATTCATGGCCACGGATAACATCAATGACCGGTCCTGGGCCTTCGCTAAGTCGGTTCAGCCCTAGATCAGTATCCGGTGCGGTGTTTAAACATAAGTGAGCATTGGGAAGATAAAGGTGGCCGGGAGTGGTGTTGCTGGCCACACCGCTCCGTTATGCGTCTTGACGGAATTCAACAGTACTCGCTTATAGCTCTCGTCCCAACAGCTTGTGAGAAGCGATACGGGGGGGTGGGGGGTCGTTGCCTGCTGTATACATTTCGATTTAAAGCTTTCGTGACTGCAGGGATTCATCTTCTTGGTTCGGACGGCTGCTTGCGTTGTGGCCGAAACGTCGTGAGAATTATTTTATTATGTTTTATTTTTATTATTGTATTACTTCCCTTCTACGTGACTTTACCGAAAGAACCAAGAAGATGCTGTATACATGTGTAGCGCTGGCGCACGGCGCTACGAACCTGGCTACCTGAGTTCGCTTCCTGGTCAAAGCCAACATCAATAGCCCGCGACTGTCGGTTGCGACTCGAACGCACGAGTCCGCTGCCGTGACTCCTTCCCGTGACTCGCACCGCGTCTCATCGCCGACACTCTGCGACTCTCTCTCCCCGTGACTCCCTGCCGGACTATATTCATCATCACTCACGTGTTGATTTGAGGCTTTCCCTGACTGCAGGGATCCATCCTCTTTTGTTCTTTCGGTAAAAGTCACGTCGGTGGAAGAAATAATAATAATAATAAAAGATCACGACGTTTCAATTGCTTGTGTGGCGATTGAAACGTCGTGATCTATTATTTCTTCTACCCACGTGACTTTACCGAAAGAACCAAAGAGTGTCACTCACGTGCCCAACCCGGTGGCGCGTGCGGGGCGGGCTGCATAGCGAGGCGTGCGGGGGGGGAGGGGGAGGGAGGGAGGGGGGGAGTGGGGGAGAGAGGGGGTAGGGGAGGGAGGGGAGTGAGGGAGGGGGGAGGGAGGGGACATGCGGACAGACGGACGGACAGAGGAGGGGACAGTGTGAGGCTGTTGGGGGGTGAGTGAAGACGGGGGGAGGGGCTGGGGGTCTAAGTTATATTCTCGTGTCCGTATGGGGTGAGAGGGTGGGAGTAGTGGGGGGGGGGGGTGTCGCGACTCGGAGGGGGTCGCTCGCGACAGGTGGACGCGTCGCGCGAGCCACAGCCTCGTCAGGCGACATCGCGCTCCGGTCGCGACCAGCAGAGACGGCGCGACACGTGGCGGGCAGCAGCAGCAGCAGCGGTCGCGTCGCCAGTGCGCGGACATTCTTCCCCCGGTCCGACCGCGCTTGTGTATCCATCCTTTCTCTCTCTCTCTCGAGGTCACGTGCGGGAGGGCTGGGGTGGGGGGAGTGCAATGGAAGTTGGTGAAGAAGGAGGTGAGAGGGTGACACAATGAGGGAGTTGGGGATTGAGGTGGAGGGGGGGGGTGTTATTATTATCAGGGTTCAGGATCGAGGTTCCGCTTGCTGGTAACTGCGCTTTAGGAACGAAGTGGGGATGGGTCCATGACAGGCCACTTCTGACCCCGCGTCTTGCTGAGCCAGAGACCACCGCGTTCCGTCGACCCGCTGCTGGGGTGACAGCTCCACCATCACTGCCTCCTCCTCCTCCTTCACCTCCTCCTCCTCTTCCACATCGTCTCCGACCTCCACGTCGTCACCGCCAGAGCCCCCCCTCTCTCCCCGAGTGCAGGCGATGCCAGAGTCACGACTCTCCACCACCGCCGCCGCCGCCTCGGCGAGGGACGACGCCCGCCCCTCGGGGTCAAACTCGCGCCCGTCAAGTTCAGGGTCGCGGTCCCGGGCAGCGCTTGGCGCGGGCGACTCGGGGCGAGGCGCGGCGGCTCGGGACGCGGGCTGCTCGCGAGGGGCCACGGCCGCCTGGTAGGAGGCCGTCTCGGGAGCGGCGTGCGTCCGGTAGCGCTTGAGGCGCACCGCGTCCCGCGGGGCCTTCGAGCTCGTGGCCAGGCACGGCAGCATGGCGCGCACGTCTGCGCGGAACTTTCCGCTCATGCCGAAGTAGATGAAGGGGTTGTAGAAGCTCGCCGACTTCGCGAAGAGGGCCGCGAGGAGGCTCGTGAGCGCCGGGACGCGGTGGCCGCACGCGGAGTACATGGAGATGACGGCGTACGGGCTCCAGGCCAGGATAAAGGCGCAGCAGATGACAATGGACACCTGCGGGGGGGGGGGGGGGGGGTGGTCGAAGCGGAGGTGAGCGCCGAGGTCAGGATGGGGTGGCGACTTTGGAGGTGAAGATCTCGGGTCGCGAGCAATGCCGGGTTGTGGCGACAACTCGGCAGATCGTGATCTACGAGGTGAGGAGGCGATTGCGATTAAATGCCACCGACGGCAGGTCAGAACGGGATGACAACTTGAGCAAGCAAAGTGGCAGCTACCGTGGTTCAAGGGTCAGAATTGAGCCGGAGCCGTTGAGAACCTAGGTTCGAATCCGGGCTAGAGTCGGCCCCATTGCTGCTTGATCCGGGTTCTCGAATGAAGTGAATTGATGTTCTCAGCCTGGTCACCGATAACCACACGAAACGTCTATCAAGTTAAGTTGGTTTCGCACCTAACTCGGCTACATTCCTGGCGAATGCAAATTTGCTCCGCTAAGAACATTTCTCTTGGAGCAGGACGCATCGTAAATCGTCGCCCCACGCGTTTGGATAACAAGGGGGTCATTTAAGGACCGCCACAAGTAGTTCTGTGTTGTCTGTTTCAGCGGACCATTCTCTAACAACTCGTTTTATTCTCATTGCGATAGTGCAGGATAGACGCTGGGTCTCCTGCCATGACGCTGATTGCGCACTTGGAGAAACGTCGAGAAATGACACCGACATTTAAATGCAAAGTCTTACAATTCCACAAAGTTGGGGTTTGATCTCCACTCGCGCGTCAGCTTCGCGGAGGGACGGCGAGTTGAGACACGACCGGGATTTGAACTCGCGGGTTTACAAATGTGGGACTACCCTCGACTCGTCTCTCTCAGTTTCACTGATACATTATTATCGATTATATATCTCTGGCCTCTGTGTGTATGTGCTATGAAGGAACCCATTGCCCGAAACGTCGCCGATTATACATATCTTTCCTTTTCGGGCCACGCAATGTTATTGACAACTGAGTTTGTTGTTTTTGTTGTTGATCATTGTGTTTGTGCACCACTGCAAACGCAGCAGTAGCAGCAGCATCGCCAGACCATTGTTTTACATCAGCGAACCGAGTTGGCAGTGATTGCATTGCGAGCAAACGAGAAAAGTGCGTGAGATGGTTGTTGTGTCTGAAGGTGCGTGAGCGTGTGTGGACGAGTGGGGAGTGGTTGGCGCAGTGGTTAGCGCGCTGCGCTACGAACCCGGCGGCCCGAGTTCCTGTTAACCGGTACTAGCCCCCCCCCCTGGGTCGACTCAGCCTCAAATAACTACCTACCTGGTGCCATGTGTAAACATCGCCACGAGGGAGGCAAAGGCGGCCGGGCGTGGTGCTGGCCACCCACCCCCTCGTGTGCCGTGCTGGCCTTCATTGGTGCCACTCGCTAACGGCACTTGCCTCAACAGTCCGTTTAAAGGCTACACGGGGGACCTTTGTCTGTGCGGGTGCGCGCGCAATTACAAGCACGGCGATGCGCGTTCCAGTCCCCGCCGCAGGTATCGTACAGTCCATCATGAGCACTGTAGTATACAATGCAGTGTAGAGGCAGACTGCGCCTTCTTGGTCGGCTGCGTAAACATCGGCACTGGGGCCGCGTCCTAAATCGCATTTGACTAAATGTGTTGGCGGGCAAGATGTGGGGTTTCCATCGCTGTCACGACCCACACGGTTTACCCCGCATTCTTGTGCAAGGGAAATGAAGTTTTCAGGTCCGTACAGCCGTTTCAATACGGGCAACAACAAAAACGCTTTGTCTATTTGTTTGTGTTTCTCCCTTGTGATGGGACTTTGTAGGACGAACGTTGAGATTTACAAGGGCCACGGGGTGACCCATAAGGTCTGAATAAGCTCGGGCTACTGGTAAGAAGTCGACAGGTTTATGGGGTTTTCGACGGCGTGTGCATCCCATTGGCATTTCCCGCCCTATCGACTCTCCAACCAACGTTTACTCTTCAACAAAACTGCATATTAAACACTTGATTACGTTCGTTGTAAATCCAGTTTTTTGTGCGATGTGTGTGCGTGCCTGTATATCCATATATACGAATGTGAATGTGTAGATCCATATGCACGTACACGCTCGTATACGTATGGGTATATGCATAGTGCAGGGCATGGGTCGGCAATCAAAATAACAAGAAGATACATTTTTTGTTCGAATTTTGTATAAAAAAAAACTCAAACGCCCAAGAGCCGCGATGGGATGTGGATAGCAGGCACGTGGTCCTAAATAAGTGACGTCACGAAGCGGTCCCTTTAAAGAGGCACAGATTGTCGACCCACGCTATAGGGGTGTGTATACAAGCTGGCGTGCGAGCCCGACGACTCGAGTTCGATTCCAGCTCACGGCCAACACCAGTGAAGATTATGTGAACTGCTTCTGAGCCACCCTTAGGTCGACGCAGACTCAAATGAGCACCCGGTGCGGTGTGTAGTGAACACCGCCCACTAGGGAGACAAAGGCGGCCGGGCGTGGTGCTGGCCAAACCATCCCCTCGTGTGCCGTGCAAGGCCTTCATAGGTGCTCGCTAACAACACTTGCCCCAAGAGTCTGTTAAGGCTACACGGGAGATCTTTGCCTGTGGAAGGACGCGTCACCAGACTGCATCGTGGCCGACGGACGGAATGGCAGCAGAAGGTGAGATCGTCCCAGAAGTTCGCCCACCGTAAAGACGGAGCCATGTGTTCGACTCAAGCAGGCGTGGAATTAATGTGAACAGCACTGGGCCTGGAGGGATGTCCACAGCAGTGGAGGGGGTGGGGGGAGGCGCTCATACAGCAGTGGATAGCCGCATGGCTGATGATGATTCTAGATTTGAAGCTTTCGTGACTGCAAGGATTCATACTCTTAGATTCTTTCGGTAAAGTCACGTAGGTAAAAAATAAAATTAAAAGTTAATAAAAGTAATAATGGAAATAAAATAAAATAAAAAATCACGACGTTTCGGAGGCAACACAAGTGTCCGTCAGCAGGTGGGACCGTCACAGCTAAAATCAATGCAGTAATTTTAGCTGTGACGGTCCCACCTGATGACGGAGACTTGTGTTGCCTCCGAAACGTCGTGATTTATTATTTTATTTTATTTCCATTATTACTTTTATTAACTTTTAATTTTATTTTTTACCTACGTGACTTTACCGAAAGAACCTAAAAAGGATGATGATGATGATGCTGATGAGGCCGATGATGTGGGTTGTGGGCTCTCTCTCTACCCTCGTGATGTCTCGCTCCATGTTGCGCTGCCGCTCTGACACGTCGCCCATGCGCGCCGTCACGTGACTCGACTTGACCGTGTTGATGATGGAGATGTAGGCGAACATCATGGTGGAGATGGGCAGGAAGAAGCAGCAGATGAAGATGGAGATGATGTAGGACTTGTAGATGGTGGAGAACGTGGCCTTCATCCAGTCGATCTCGCAAGTCCCGTACCTGCGGTCTGTGGGGGGGGGAACGACAAACGCGATTGGCCGCAGTCGTACGCCAGGTTCTATCCACTGGAGGGTGGAGAAGGGCCAAGCGGGGGGGGGGCACGGGAGCTCCTGGGTGCTGCTGTGGGGAGTCGAGATGCGCCACGTCCATGCGGTGTTGTTGCTGGATGTTCCGCGCCAATGTCTCCATCACCATCATCACCACCATCACCATCACCACCATCACCACCATCACCACAGGGGGCAACTCGCCCAAGTGATGTGACAGCGATCCGGCGATTCGTCAAAATCTGGATCTGAACCGACGCATGAAGGAAGAGACCGCCTGGGTTGGGTTAGAAAGGTGGAGCTGCTGTAGAGGATGGTGATGCTGCTGATGGGTTAGTATGATGATGATGATGGTGATGATGATGAGATGGTGCTGCTGTAGAGGATGGTGACGCTGCTGATGATGACTGTGTTTGGGTTGGTATGGTGATGATGATGGTGAGATGGTGCTGCTGTACAGGATGGTGATGCTGCTGATGATGATGACTGTGTGCTTGGCTTGGTATGATGATGATAATGAAGGTAGTGATGCTGTAGAACATGGTGTGGGTTGGTATGGTGATGATGATGATGATGAAGGTGGTGATGATGAATATATGGAGGCGTTCTTCCGCAAGTTACCGACGAGACATACTGCATTTCTATTTACGACAAATCCCGATATTTCCCGTAGAAAACTGTGATGATAAACATTGCACTTTTTTTTCTTCAGGTCATTTAAAGAATACGCAAGTCAACAAAAAGTAGCTGGTATGTTGCAGACCAAGGGCGCGGCAACCAAAATTACAATGAGAGCCTTTTTTTCGTCTTCGTTAAAATAAAATAACAATAAAAACTCAATATTTCAAGAGACCCAATGGAAGTTGGTGAATACGAGATGGGTGATCATCAATAAACAACGCCGCGATGCAGTGAGTCCTGTTGTAGGCGTAGACTGCGCGCGTAGCGTGCCGTGCCGAGTCGTCTTAGAGTGCGTGGTCACGCTTCGCTAAGGAGGAGGAGAAAAGAGGAAGAAGAAGACGACGAGAAGCCAAAGCGGAGGTGTAAGTGACGCGGCGTGGCACCCACCCGTGTAGCTGCCCCAGCCCAGGAGAGGTGCCGCTGACCAGAAGAGTGACGCGGCCCACACGAGGGCAAGAGACACCACCATGCTCGTCCTCGTCACCTCGTGGGCTGTGGAGGTGTGTGGGGGGGGGGGGGGGAAGATGGGGGGGCAGGCAAGTTATGGGGGGGGGGGGAGGAGATGGGGGAGCAGGCAGGTTATGGGGGGGGGGAGGAGATGGGGGAGCAGGCAGGTTATGGGGGGGGGCAGGAGGAGGGGGGTGGTTGGTGACGGGGGAGACGGTAGTGGGAGCACGACCGATCTCTTGTTATTTTAAATACTTCACTCGCATTTGGAAGTTGGGCAGGCTCGGTGACCATGTGAGACTAGGATCTAAGGAAAGCTGTCTCGGGTGTGGACCAATCAATTTCAAGGACAGGGCATACATTATAGTATCAGAGTTGTGTTTTTTGTTTGCATTCCAACCGCAGGTATTGTGGTCAATGCAAACATGACTCCTTGTAAAAAAAAGGTGTCAGTTTTGTTGCCAGATAAAAGGGTAAAAAACCAATTATCATATGTATGTTTTGTGAACTTCTTTCGCACCGTACGTAGCCAGCCGTGCTAATCGAAGGTGCGGGGGAAGGACAGTGAACTAAACGCTAAAAGGCGGTTCTGAAGAAATGAGTTTTCAATCTCGGCCAAGAGGTCACAATGAGTGGGCAGCGTAGAGACGCCTGGGTTCGAATCCGGGTTTCAGCTGCGATGACACGGGGTGCTCGAGTGTGGCGCGTTGACGGACTGCACGCAACACATCGGACTAAATTTGGGGTTTCACTTAATGTTGCTAAGTTTCAAGCCCAGTTTTACCTTAACAGGGTCAGTTGAATGGATCTCAAACGTAGTCTGTGATATCTCCTTCCGCGGACCGTTCTCTAAAACGTGGTTGTGCATTGTTGACTGTGAGAGTTCTGAATTGAAAATTCGTCTCATTGCGTGATTCTGTTCGTACAAGCAGAATAAACTGGTTTGCCTGAAGAGTTAACAAATCATTTAAAGTCCCATAAGTGAGCTCTCCCAGCAGGAAAAGATGCGTTGACTGGGTCATGTAGCCCGCATGCCCAACCACAGCATGCCCAAACAGCTTTTGTTTGGCCGGATAGAGGGAGCCAAACGAGCGCGGCACGGGCTAGATAAGAGATGGACTGATGTGGTGCAGGAGGACGTGGAGCTGAGTGGACTTTCCGATGACTGGTACCAGTTGTGTCAAGATCGGCCTCTGTGGAGGAGGCTCGTGAAGGACGCTACTGGGCAGTTGGAGGCAGTCGCCCTCCAACAACAACGGAGAGGGAGGAGCAACGCTCACAACAACGAGCGGAGCGCCGGGTGGATAAAGCACAGCAAGTTGGCACAGTAGGGGGCACAGGTGGTGCATCAGCCAATCATCTCAGTCAGTCGACCCGTGGCCCCTGCTGGGTCTGCCCTGTGACCTGCCAGCGGGCGTTCGACACTTCACGTGGCCTCAACGTGCACACAGCCTGGCACAAGCGTCGTGGTGACGTCACCGCCACTTAGTGGCGAATGGCGGTTGTTGTTGTTGTTGGAACTCGGCGACCAGAGTTGAATTCCTGCTCATGGCCTGCACCTGTGACGATTATCTTAATCAGTCCTGGGCCTCCCCTAGATCGACTCAGCCACAAGCACGCTACTGGGCAGTTGGATGCAGTTGGCCTCTATCAACAACGAACAGTGAAGGAGCGACGCTCACTGGATCTAGATTGAAAACTCATCTCTCTAGAACTGCTTTTTTGTGTTTGTTCTTCTTCCCACGCACCTCCGATTAGCACGGTTGGCTACGTGCGGTGCGAAAGAAGTTCGACGTACATACCACAACAACGAGCGCAGACCCGGGCGACTCAATCGCAGCATGATGGCACAGTGGTGAGTGCAGGTGGTGCATCTGGCAGACATCTCAGTCAACCCATGGCCACCTGGGCTTGTCCCGTGATCTCTTGCCAGCGAGCATGCGACACTTCGCGTGGCCGCAAAGTGCATGTAGCCTGGTGATGTAACCACCACTTATTTGTGAATAGCGGCTATTGTATGTGTGTTTGGGGGGGAGCGGTGGCGCAGTCGTTAGCGCGATGAACTTCTTAGACCGGCGGCCAGAGTTCTATTCCTATTTGAACGGCTCCTGGGACTCCCCTAGATTGACTCAGCCTTCAATGAGCACTGGCTACGGTGTGTAAATATGTACGGGACCTTTTTTTTACCAGTATCAAAATGATGATGAATATAAGAATGGGCTTTACCCTTCTATGGCAATAAAACAGGTGTCAATATGTTCAAACACCAAACAGAAACCTTTTGCAAGGCAACAAGTCTGCATTAACCACACAGTACTTGTAGCAAAACATGCAAAACAAACACGCTTTGATAATACAGAGTGCTTCAGAAAAATGTCAACACTTATATGGGACTATCGTTTTTAATGGAAAACGAACGGATAATACACTGTAACATTACTCTTTGGTTATTTCGGTAAACTCACGTAGAAATAAATTTTATTTCTAAAGAAAATACATTTCTTTCGACGTGACTTTACCGAAAGAACCAAAGAGCAATTCCTGCAGTCACGAAAGTTTCCAATCACACTGTAACATGATAACAAATTGTAATGTCAACAGCTTCAAAAAGTCAAAAAGTCTCCCGCTTGCTCGCCATCGTTGTCAACACGCGCCTGGAATCTTCTCCAAGTGGTCTCCAAAGCCCAGAGGCAGCACATTAATTGTGGTTTTGTTGCAAATTGTCTAAAGTATTAACATTTGTTTTCAGCACCCTGTACACGCATTGTCTTTGAAACTGATTGGCCTGCACCAGAGACGGCCTTCATTAATGGCTTTGTCTCGCCAGTGTGAGACCAGAGCTTGTTTGGTTGCATGCATTTGGGTGTTTGGACATATGAACACCTCCTGTTGTATTGCCAGGAATGGTAACGCCCATTCTTATATTGCGGGGGGTGGGGGGGGGCTTTATATTTGGTGTGAAAGTCTGCTCCGGTGATACAAATGCGCTCGATGTGCTTTTGCCAACATCTGCCTGGCGCGTGATGCAATATTATCTCCCTGCAATTTCCCCTGAGGTGTAAAAACGATCCACGTGGATAAACTTGCGTCTGGTATTGTGTATGTGTGTGAATTCGTGTGCGTGTGAACCCGTGTCTGTGCGTGAATGCGTGTGAGTGCATGTGTGCATGTCTCTGTGTTGGCATGTGTGTGTACGTAGTGTATGATATAATCTGTGTGTGTGTAGTGTAGCGGTTAGCGCGCTGCGCTACGAACCCGGCGACACGAGTTCGATTGCCGCTCACGGCCAACATCAGTGAAGAATATCTGAACCGGTCCTGGGCCTCTCCTAGGTCGACTCAGGCTTAAATTGGTACCTGGTGCGGTGTGTAAACATCGCTGGCCACCCACCCCCTCGTGTGCCGTGCCGGCCTTCATAGGTGCTACTCGCGAACAGCACTTGCCTCTACAGCCTGTTAAGGCTACACGGGGGATCATTGTCTTTGTTTGTGTTGTGTGAGCCGTGCGAGAAACACCCCATTACCTTGGTGTGGCCGACAGCCCTTGATGTAGCGGGTGATGCTGATGACGGTGAGCGTGTTGATGCTCGCCAGGCCGAACAGCAGCGTCAGGAAGCCGTCAACCTGGGCGGTGAGGGGTGAGAGGGGTTGGTGGTTCGGAGGGTGAGTGTGCGGTGATGGTGGAGTGAACGGTTGGTGAGTTCAAGACGAGTTTGTAGGAGGGTTGGGTGAATGTGTGTTGGGTGCGAGGTGAGTGTGGAGTGGAGTCAGTGTGTGGGGTGTGTATGTGCGTGAGGATGTTGGTGAGTGTGCGGTAGAGCTGCCGTGAGGATGGGTGAGTATGGGGTGAGGGAGGAGTGAGGATGCGGTGAGTGTAGAGTAAGGGGAGAGTAAGTAGGATTAAGGTGGGGTGCATGTATGTTTAACTTCCTTCGTACCGTACGTAGCCAACCTTGCTACTCGGAGGTGCAGGTGAAGGACAACAGACTCAACACAACAAGCAGTTCGAGAGGAATGAGTTTTCAATCCAGATGATTTAAAAGTGGCACAGCTCCCAGTGGCTTATCGGAAGGAAGAGCGTTCCAGACGGCCGCCCTTGGTCGCTGGCTGAGCCGAAAGCCGCTGCTGCGAGGATGGACCCGGGTTCGCGTGATGGTGGTGCATGAGTGAGCGTGGTTGGGGTGAGCAGATGGAAGTAGGGAGGGTTGGGGGAGACCAGGTGAAGCCCGATTGAGTGTCAAGTCATGGGGGAAGGTGAGTAAGGTGATTGCGAGGCGATTGTGGGGCGAGTGTGAGTCGATGGTGAAGGTGAGTGTTGGGATGAGCGCGGGGAGATGTGTGTTGATGAATCTTGACTTAAAGCTTTCGTCACTGCAGGAATTCATATTCTTTGGGTCTTTCGGTAAAGCCACGTAGATAGAAAAAATCATTAAATATATCACGACGTTTCAATCGCAACACAAGCAATCGTTATCAGGTGAAAAAATAGCGATTTTTTTAAAATTATTTTTTCGATCTACGTGGCTTTACCGAAATACCCAGAGAATAGTGTCTCGATATTTAACGTAGCGCACACACACACGGGCGATGGCTATTTCTATGAGCTGATCCGCTTCTACTGCAACAAAGGGCCGATTCACGCCTCGACAAACAACAAACGTCATTTTCCACACCACGATATAGGCCAAGAAGAAGAAGAAGAGAAAAGTCCAAATGTCTCCGTTGCGAACAACGTCGCACGCCCTCGCATCGCCATCGCAACGAAACATCCTCGACCGCGCCAGACGGGAAGGAAAGATTATCATCGAGCGGAGTTGTTATTTGTTTCTCGGCCGCATCACGACGATGACGACGATGGCCCAGGCGACGAGGGCGATGATGCGGAGGCCGCACCTGGCATGTCCACGTGGAGTTGATGATGTAGCCGTCGTCCTGGAACACGTTGAAGATCTCGATGATGCCGCGCGAGTATCCGAACACGGCGATGCTGGCGTCGGACAGCGCGAGGTTGAGGGTCAAAAGGTCGGGCGGCTGCAGGGAGCTCCACTGGCGCGTGAGGACGAAGATGACGAGGCTGTTGCCCAGCCACGACAGCCAGCCTGGCGCGCACGCGACAGCCAAGGGGGGTCACGCAAGGGGGTCACGGGCCGTTAGGGGCTGTGGGTTGGCGCCCGAGCGAGGGATTGGGGTTTTGGTTGTGCGTTGGGGGTTAGGAGGAGGGTTTTTTGGTCACGTGTTGGGGTTAGGGAGTGGGGTTGTTGTTACGTGATGGGGTTATGTGTTGGAGTTAGGAGTAGGGTTGTTGTTATGTATTGGGGTTAGGAGGGGGTTGTTGTTATGTGATGGGGTTAGGAGGGGGTTGTTGTTATGTTTTGAGGTTAGGAGGTGGGTTATTGTTATGTGATGGGGTTATGTGTTGGAGTTAGGTGTAGGGTTGTTGTTATGTATTGGGGTTAGGAGGGGGTTGTTGTTATGTGATGGGGTTAGGAGGGGGTTGTTGTTATGTTTTGAGGTTAGGAGGTGGGTTATTGTTATGTGATGGGGTTATGTGTTGGAGTTAGGTGTAGGGTTGTTGTTATGTATTGGGGTTAGGAGGGGGTTGTTGTTATGTGATGGGGTTAGGAGGGGGTTGTGGTTATGTTTTGAGGTTAGGAGGTGGGTTATTGTTACGTGATGGGGTTATGTGTTGGAGTTAGGTGTAGGGTTGTTGTTAGGTATTGGGGTTAGGAGTTGGGTTGTTGTTACGTGTTGGGGTTATGTGCTTGCGGTTAGGAGTCGGATTTTGGTTATGTGTTGGGGTTATGGTTAATGTTTGGGGTTGGGTATTACGGTGACAGATTAAGGTTGGGGTTTTACACATGAGTTGGAGTTAGTGTTAGGATCTACATTTTGTGTTAGGGTTATGGTTGTGATTCTGTGTTGGGGTTAGGGTGATCATTAGGGGTTGCGGCCACGATTGTGAGTTAGGGTAGGGAGTGGGATTAGTCTACACTTGGGGTTGGTGTTGTTGTCCGGGCTAAGGTTATGGTTTGAGATTAGTGGATCACACAAAGAGGGAGTCATCGTGCGTGCGTGTGTGTGTGAGACACATCTGGCTGCAGCACAATGGCTTGTTGTTTTGCCTGTAATAGGTAAGTAGAGCAAGTAGGTTCCTGACTCGTCTGCTCGGACTCGTTACCTTCGTGGTGTGTGTGGGGTTATCTCCGGTCGTGCTGGCTGACACTGGGTGAAGGTCATCCTTCAGCTCATGGAGCGGAACAGATTAGATACTTCCGGCCTCGGGTTTCAAGAGACGATGATGCGTTATCGGAATAAATCCTAAAATAAATAATAATAATTCATTACAAACTAAATCTCCAATTTCCTCCCATTCGGGCATATCAGGGCACAGATGAGGCTCGCGCGTGGGTGGCATCATCCCGGACGGGAAATCTGCCGTCACATTTTCATCATCGTGGTTGTCTCAGCGTCAGCGCGATGAGGACATGGTGCGCCTGGACGTGGCCCGGATCTTATTTTAATTCCTCCGTTAATTCCATCCGATTGTCCCCCGGGTTTTGCTCGGAACGTGCGGAGGACAGAGGGCGGCCGCTGACACAGGCGATTATAACAGAGGAACAGAAACGGGAACTTTGAGGAATGCGAGACAACGTGGAAGCAGTCGATTGGAAATGTCGCAGACACCTCAAACTCATGGACAAAGTCGCTTAGTCGACATGAATGGTCAATGGTCACGATTGCCAACCATCAGGTGCGTGCAGTGCGCAGTGAATTCAGTTGAATATAAAACATAAAGTATTGGTGTTAACGAAGAGGTGAACCGTGGGTGGCGGCGGGGTGGTGGGTGGAGGGCCTAAGAGGGCCGAAGTTGGGGAAGACGGCCATGCACCACAAACCTTACGGATCTCACCGCAGATTACTTGTCGGCTGCTGGTCTGTCGTTCACTGTTGTTGAGTGAATCGGCAGTCGGTTTCCGTGGCAGCTGTTTTGCTTTGAAATTCAGGTCTCCACTCGCACGTCGTTTAAATAAAGATTCAATGGTGATGATTATGATGATGTATATTATAACATTTCAATCTGTTCCAACCTGCATCCAGAAAGCCTGTTTGGTCTGGCCTTATTTGTCTCGATGTGGTCTTACCACATTACCAGTCCTAACCCTGATCGTAACCCCAGCCCTCGCCCTAACCTTGACCTAAACCATGAACCTGACCCTGACCCTGACCCCAATTACATCTCTAACCGTGACCCTAAACCAGACCATATAGCTCGAAACCTATAACCCGAACACTAAACGTGACCCTGACGTCTATAACTGCCTTAGTCGTCCGTGGTCCATCACCAGCTATTCTAGTTGCCGGTACCCAGCAGAACTTTAGGGCTGCCAAGTTCTACGCATGGGCAACAGCGGGGAATGATTATCATAAACCTTGTCGAGTGAGTGGCTGAGCTATCGCACCATTCACTCCAACTTCCCTCTCTCTGCCAACAGAAAAAAAAATCGACACTCGTGGTGTGGGCAGGGTTGGAGGAGGGAAGGGGTGTTTGGGGTGGGGGGGGGGGGGCGGTCATCGGTGGCGCAGTGGTCGCTCAGCTACCAGAGTTCAATTCCCGGCCACTACGAACATCGGTAGCGAGTGACATCTGGACCGGTTTCCACCCTCCCCCCCTACCCCTACTCCTGTTCACAATGTCGCATTGGCCAGCCGGGGTGAGGTATAGTCAAGCGAGCACTCTCATGGCCAACGTGGTGTTGGGGAGGCTTTCATCGTCATCCAGCAGTGGATTGACAAAGGACTCTAGATTATTATCATAATTCAGACGCTGTCTCCCCGACAGACCTGGTCTTCACCTGAGGACGGCTGCTTGCGTTGTGGCCGAAACGTCGTGAGAATTATTTTATTATGTTTTATTTTTATTATTTTATTACTTCCCTTCTACGTGACTTTACCGAAAGAACCAAGAAGATTAGTATCATCATCATCTTCAGGAGTAATTTTAGTAGAATAGACCGCCAGCACTCTAGGTGGTAAAATCTTTCAGCGCTGGCACTGGAAACCACATACCAGTAGTATCTCTCTCTCTCTCCTCCTATCAAGTGATGCTTTTGTTCAACCGCACGCGTTCTCACCCCTGCGTGCAGACCCGAGCAGGTGTTGCTAATCTCTCGATATGAACCTCGACGCGGTCGGGTGGCTCAGCATGGCCGTGTCTGCGCGAGGCGCTTGGGGCACGTCCACGCGTCTCGCCGCGATGCGGATTTATTTTTTTGTTAAGCAACAATAACAAGTCACGTAGGTATAAAATAAACTAGATTAGATATTGACTCTCCTCCACTCCTGTTGGCCGTGGCTGGGAATTGAACTCAGCTCTCTGGGTTGATGGCATTGCCCGTCACACCATATGCTTCCGCACAGCTCAATCGTGCAGAGATTTTTTTTAAATCTTCCAATGAACATTGAATTAGGGAGACTCTACAATAATCTAAAACAGCGGGCGGCAAACACAAGCAATCGTCATCAGATGATGATGATTGCTTGCGTTGCAATCGAGACTTTACCGAAAGAACCAAAGAGTATGGATCCCTGCAGTCACGAAAACTTCAAATCTATATTCAACAATAACAAGAACAGGAAAAAAAGATGTTCTCCCAACGCGCACTGTTTTGATGGAGTGGTCGGTACACCGCGCAAGGATTCCATGCCACCTCGGTTCGATATCTAAACTCGCGGCTAACATCAGTGGCGAGTGGATATCGACAGATGTTATGGGCCTCCTCCTTTAACCAACCCGCACTGGGCATCGTTGTGCCATCACTAACACGGCATGGGGAGACGAAGGGCTTCTATATTTGAAGTGTTCGTGACTGCAGGGATCCATACTCTTTGGTTTTTTCGGTAAAGTCACGTAGGTAGAAAATAAAAAAATTTATGAAAACAACTAAATTAAATAACGACGTTTCAGAAGCAACACAAGCATCCTAAATAGCTCTCTTCATACCCTACAGTAATTTTGCTGGAGCGGTCACACCTGATGACGGATGCTTGTGTTGCTTCCGAAACGTCGTGATTTCATTTGGTTGTTTTCATTTTTAATTATTTTTTTACCTACGTGACTTTACCGAAAAAATTGAAAACAAAGCAGGGAAAATGTGTAATTCAAATGGTTGTTTCACCAGTCACACAAGGACAGCTTCAGTGACTCGGAGAATGCCCAACGCGATCGCTCAAGACGACGGCTCACATCGATGACATCAGAATAAACAGAAAGGTCGCGAACGAGAGCGGAGCTTTCGGTTCACCTGGAACCCACAGACAAGCGGGAAGGCAGCCAGAAACAGGCTGCCAACGATTGCCCAAGCCCTGTGGTCCGCCAGTAGAGGGGGATGATTACTATTTATAATCTCAATTAAACAATTTTCGGGTGATTTATCAGATTGTCGCAAATGTGTACCATGACGCCGCCACGCAATGGCCTACTCTTGCGAATTACGTAACTGGATCTTTAACGTCCACCACAGAGCAGACGGCGTGCACAGGAGCAGTATTATTTATGCTTAATGATCCCGCAGTATTAATCAGGGTGGCCGTCGGAATTCGAACCGTGAACCTCTGAGACCCGGTGACGAACGCGCTACCGCTCGACCGCGTCACGGCCCCAATGAGCACTCAGCTGTTACTCAGCTGTGACTCAGCTGTGACTCAGCTGTGACTCAGCTGTTACTCAGCTGTGACTCAACTGTGACTCAGCTGTGGCTCAGCTGTTACTCAGCTGTGACTCAGCTGTGGCTCAGCTGTGACTCAGCTGTGACTCAGCTGTGACTCAGCTGTGGCTCAGCTGTGACTCAGCTGTGACTCAGCTGTGACTCAGCTGACAGCTCAGCTGACAGCTCAGCTGTGACTCAGCTGACAGCTCAGCTGTGACTCAGCTGTGACTCAGCTGTGACTCAGCTGTGGCTCAGCTGTGACTCAGCTGTGACTCAGCTGTTACTCAGCTGTGACTCAGCTGTGGCTCAGCTGTGACTCAGCTGTGACTCAGCTGTGACTCAGCTGTGGCTCAGCTGTGACTCAGCTGTGACTCAGCTGTGACTCAGCTGACAGCTCAGCTGACAGCTCAGCTGTGACTCAGCTGACAGCTCAGCTGTGACTCAGCTGTGACTCAGCTGTGACTCAGCTGTGACTCAGCTGATAGCTCAGCTGATAGCTCAGCTGTGACTCAGCTGACAGCTCAGCTGTGACTCAGCTGTTACTCAGCTGTGACTCAGCTGACAGCTCAGCTGTGACTCAGCTGACAGCTCAGCTGTGACTCAGCTGTGACTCAGCTGACAGCTCAGCTGTGACTCAGCTGTGACTCAGCTGACAGCTCAGCTGTGACTCAGCTGTGACTCAGCTGACAGCTCAGCTGTGACTCAGCTGTTACTCAGCTGACAGCTCAGCTGTGACTCAGCTGTGACTCAGCTGGCAGCTCAGCTGTGACTCAGCTGACAGCTCAGCTGTGACTCAGCTGACAGCTCAGCTGTGACTCAGCTGACAGCTCAGCTGTGACTCAGCTGTGACTCAGCTGTGACTCAGCTGTGACTCAGCTGTGACTCAGCTGACAGCGCAGCTGTGACTCAGCTGTGACTCAGCTGTGACTCAGCTGTGACTCAGCTGTTACTCAGCTGTTACTCAGCTGACAGCTCAGCTGTGACTCAGCTGTGACTCAGCTGTTACTCAGCTGACAGCTCAGCTGACAGCTCAGCTGTGACTCAGCTGACAGCTCAGCTGTGACTCAGCTGTGACTCAGCTGTGACTCAACTGTGACTCAGCTGTGACTCAGCTGACAGCTCAGCTGTGACTCAGCTGTGACTCAGCTGTGACTCAACTGTGACTCAGCTGTGACTCAGCTGACAGCTCAGCTGTGACTCAGCTGTGACTCAGCTGTGACTCAACTGTGACTCAGCTGTGACTCAGCTGACAGCTCAGCTGTGACTCAGCTGTGACTCAGCTGTGACTCAGCTGTGACTCAGCTGTGACTCAACTGTGACTCACCTGACAGCTCAGCTGTGACTCAGCTGTTACTCAGCTGTGACTCAGCTGTTACTCAGCTGACAGCTCAGCTGTGACTCAGCTGACAGCTCAGCTGACAGCTCAGCTGTGACTCAGCTGTGACTCAGCTGACAGCTCAGCTGGGACTCACCTGACAGCTCAGCTGTGACTCAGCTGTGACTCAGCTGTGACTCAGCTGTGACTCACCTGACAGCTCAGCTGTGACTCAGCTGTGACTCAGCTGTGACTCAGCTGTGACTCACCTGACAGCTCAGCTGTGACTCAGCTGTGACTCAGCTGTGACTCAGCTGACAGCTTAGCTGTGACTCAGATGTAACTCAGCTGTTAGTCAGCTGACAGCTCAGCTGTGACTCAGATGTAACTCAGCTGTGACTCAGCTGTGACTCAATTGTGACTCAGCTGTGACTCAGCTGTGACTCAACTGTGACTCACCTGACAGCTCAGCTGTGACTCAGCTGTTACTCAGCTGTGACTCAGCTGTTACTCAGCTGACAGCTCAGCTGTGACTCAGCTGACAGCTCAGCTGACAGCTCAGCTGTGACTCAGCTGTGACTCAGCTGACAGCTCAGCTGTGACTCAGCTGTGACTCAGCTGTGACTCAGCTGACAGCTCAGCTGTGACTCAGCCGTGACTCAGCTGTGACTCAGCTGTGACTCAGCTGTGACTCAGCTGACAGCTCAGCTGTGACTCAGCTGACAGCTCAGCTGACAGCTCAGCTGACAGCTCAGCTGTGACTCAGCTGACAGCTCAGCTGTGACTCAGCTGTAACTCAGCTGTGACTCAGCTGTGACTCAACTGTGACTCAGCTGTGACTCAGCTGTGACTCAACTGTGACTCAACTGTGACTCAGCTGTGACTCAGCTGTGACTCAGCCGTGACTCAGCTGACAGCTCAGCTGTGACTCAGCTGTGACTCAGCTGTGACTCAGCTGACAGCTCAGCTGTGACTCAGCTGACAGCTCAGCTGACAGCTCAGCTGACAGCTCAGCTGTGACTCAGCTGACAGCTCAGCTGTGACTCAGCTGTAACTCAGCTGTGACTCAGCTGTGACTCAACTGTGACTCAGCTGTGACTCAGCTGTGACTCAACTGTGACTCAACTGTGACTCAGCTGTGACTCAGCTGTGACTCAGCCGTGACTCAGCTGACAGCTCAGCTGACAGCTCAGCTGACAGCTGAGCTGACAGCTCAGCTGTGACTCAGCTGTAACTCAGCTGTGACTCAGCTGCGACTCAACTGTGACTCAGCTGTGACTCAGCTGTGACTCAACTGTGACTCAACTGTGACTCAGCTGTGACTCAGCTGTGACTCAGCCGTGACTCAGCTGACAGCTCAGCTGACAGCTCAGCTGACAGCTGAGCTGTGACTCAGCTGTAACTCAGCTGTGACTCAACGGTGACTCAGCTGTGACTCAGCTGTGACTCAGCGATCGCGGTGATGGCTCAAGGGTGGAGAGAGGCGGTGACGACTCAATGCTTAGCTTAGGCGGATGAGTCACTCGCCACTGAGCTGATTATCAATGACGGGGCTGAAGAGTCTGAAGACTCAATGGTAACCAGGGTGACGACTCAATGATGAGCGTGGGGAAGACTCAACGATACCCTGGGCGAACACTCCGTCATCACCAAGCGCTTGTATTTGTATTTGACCAGGTGAGGCCCACTGAGCTGTACAAAAGCGACCCGGCCACAAACGATCGGTCGACGAAGTGGCTCATCGTCGTGTGGACGAAATGTTTGGCAGCCAAATACTCCAAACGCAAGTCGATTCTAAATGTGGAGGGAGAAAACCCCGGAGTAACCCGGAGAAAAATCAACGCGACCACGGGGGGAGAGAGAGAGACACGCAAACTCCAAGCATACAGCCGCAGGCGTCACAGGGTCGGCATCGAACACCCACGACCTCGTGTACACCAGGCGAGGTAGTTAACATCTCCTCGCCACCGTGTTCGGTGCCCTCCTCCCCACCCACCCTCGCCGCGGCATCAACGACGCTGAGACTCGAAAGGGACTCACCGAGGCTGATCAGGTAGACGCCGATCGCCGTCTCGCCTTCCTCGGTCAAGGGCGGCTCGGTGTACGGTACCGAGCCGTTGTGGTTCCGCCACGCGATGGGCGCGGGGGGCAGCGGGGTCACGGCTGGATCCATCGTGCCGGCCCCGCGGAGGAGGAGGCGGAGGAGAGTCTGAAGTCTCTTCTCCCTCCGCACGGAGACGCGGCTCGGCGCGGACAGCGACTAGACTGGCGAGACAGATGGAGGGACGTAAATAGAGGGATGGCAAAGGGGCTAGAGGGAGAGGGGGAGGAGGAAGAACAGGAGGAGAAAGAGGGGAGAGAGGGGGGGGTTAAATCCACGATCGACAGGTGCCCTCTCTAGCGCGGGGATTTGCCGACATAATTCAGCTCATGGTGGAGACAATTAGCTAGAAACACGCGCGCATTAGCCACACACACACACAGAGACTATCTCACCAACACACATACACACTCAGACAAAGCACCCCCCTCTCCCCTGGATAGCCTTCACATACTCTTAGGGCAAGTGCTGTTGGCGAGCGCAAGGGGTGGGTGGCCACCACCCACATCAGGCCGCCTTTGTCTCCCCCCAGTGCTGATGCTGAGTCGACCTAACCGTGCGCAAAGGCAAAGATCCCCCGGATAGCCTCAACAGACGTTTCAGGTAAGTCCTGTTAGCGAGCACCTATGATGGAAAGTACTGTTGTTGACTCACCGCATCAGGTACTCGATTGAAAAAAAAATATGCGCTGAGCGTTCACCCCGAGCCCCTCGGCTCATTCGGAGCACAAATCCTCGCTGGCTGCTCGAGTCGCTCATTCACACGCACTGTACAGCAGCGTCTTCGACAGCTTGTTGGGGCAAGTTTTGTTAACGAGCAGCACCTATGAAGGCAGGCACTGTGGCACAGGCTCGGCCGCCTTTGTCTCCCCCAGTGGCGATGTTTACACATCGCACCAGGTACTCATTTGAGGCTGAGTCGACCTAAGGGGAGGCGCAGGACCGAATCGGATAATCGTCACTGGCGTTGGCCGTGAGCGGGAAACGAACCCGGGTTTGCCGGGTTCGTAGCGCAGCGCGCTGACCGCTACACTACCGCTCCCCTGACATACATTCATACACAACAACAACCGCTATTCGCCACTAAGTGGCGGTGACGTCACCACGACGCTTGTGCCAGGCCATGTGCACCTTGAGGCTACCACGTGAAGTGTCGAACGCCCGCTGGCAGGAGGTCACGGGGCAGACCCATGTGCCACGGGTCGATTGACTGAGATGACCGAGATGACTGGCTGATACACACACACAAACACATACAGACACTCGCCACTAATGTGAACGGTGGCCAGGATTATGACTCAGGTGGTCTGTCCACACCAAGGCTGTAATTATAATATATATTGGGGGGAACACAAATCCCCCCCAATATTTAAATATGCTCAAAATGTCTCCCCAATATATTGCTATAAAAGAGATTTCTGTTTATATGATTGTGGTTATGGTTGTAAATCCCTAATCTCTGCCATTACATACAATGCAACAAGAAAAGGTAAAAAAAATAAAGCAATGTAATACAATACACGATTAGACATTATTGTAAAAAATACATAAGAAGTCCATCCAATGTGTTAGTGAATTTTTAAAATATTTTAGGCAGGAAATGGCAGGAAATAAGTTTTCAAATGTAGATTTTTTTTTCTGGGGTGGGACCTCCAGATCCCCTAGAAGATTTGGTCCCCCCCAATGTTGACGCCATGGCTACGGCCTTGGTCCCAAGGGTGGCACAGTCGGGTTTTTTACAATCGGGTTTAATTGTCTTTTATATTAAACCCGATCATCTGAGATTGGGAGAAATTCGGTTTAATTGGTAAAAAAAAAACGATGCCTGCCGCTGGAAAAATCGCGTTTTTTCCACCCATGCTTGGTCCACACTATAGCAACTGCGCCGCAAGCCTCCAGAGCTCCCGAGAGACGGAATCTCTGATTACGTCGTGCTCGCGAGGTAGAGGCTGGTCTGTAAGAAACATCGCCAGGCCTTGTCACACAGGAGTGACGGGTCCGAGACATCAGCCAGCGGCGATGTAGTGCCAGAGCAGTGGCGTCTACCACGTGAACTAAAACAAATCTAAACTCTTTTTTTATTTTACCAGGTAAGGCCTACTGAGCTATTTAGCTCTTTTTTTCCCAGAAGCGACCTGGCCACAAATGATAGCTCAACGAAGCGCCTCATGTGGAAATTTACAGAAGGCAAATTATCTAAACGCGTGTTTCTAAATGTGGAGGGAAAGACCGGAGGACCCGGAGAAAAAGCCACGTGACCCGGAATCGGGATCAAACTCATGTACCTCCTGTATGCCAGGCAAAGGATTCTAGATCTGAAGCTTTCGTGACTGCGAGGATTCATACTCTTTGTTTTTTTTCGGTAAAGTCACGTAGGTAAAAAGAAAACAACTAAATTAAATCACGACGTTTCGGAGGCAACACAAGCTTCCGTCTTCAGGTGAAACCGCCGTGAGCATCAACACCACTCGAGCGACTCCCTCGTGAGGTCCCGTCAACATTTACACCATTGGAACCTCATTTGCCAGTAAAAATATGATTTAAAAAAATTACCCTTTTATCTGGCAACAAAACTGACACCTTTTTTACAAGGAGTCATGTTTGCATAGACCACAATACCTGCAGTCATAATGCAACCAAAAAACATAACTCTGATAATGTATACACTGTCCTTGAAGTTTATTGGTCCACACCCGAGACAGCTTTCCTTAGAGCCTAGTCTCACATGGTGTTGGACCAGATGACGCCAAAAGGCGCCCAACTCAAAGACAATGCACCATCAGAGTATGAGAGCTTGGGGTAAGCATTTACACCTTCACAGAATTAGATTTGTCTCGGAACCGTGATTTCATTGATGGAGATGGGATTTTTTAAAAATATATGTCTCAAATATTCTAATAACTGAGGATCTTGGAGGTGAGCTCATGGCGCAGACGTCAGAGCACTGAGCTGACACGTGGCTACGATGGCGACGTGTGGTTCTCGAGTCGAGTGCAATGACTGCACACGAATCAGTCGCGTTTAATGTTGTGCTGTCCATCATTTGGTGATAGTTCACCTCTCTACGAGCCCAACCACAATGCACTCTCTCCACCACCAACACCACCACAGCCACCACAGCCACGACAAGACAGCGATACAAATCGGATCTTTTCACAGGAAGAAAACAAGCACACACACACATAAAGTGCACAAACTCGGTTTCTTCTCGTCGTTTTTTGTTTGTTTAAAAACAGTGACCTACCCTTGGCCCTAATCCTAACTCAAGTGCAAATCGAATATTTTTTTGACTCTAACCCCCCCTCTCCCAGCACCCGCCTCGGCCAGAAGACCCTGTAGGAATCCTAGTCCCCAATTAGAGGGATTTCTTAGTTTTTTTCGTTTTACCGAAAGTGAAGTGGAGTTTTGTTTGTAATCGCCCCGAAGGGCCACGCCGGCCAGACGACTCGGGTCAGCACGCGGCTCGCACTGCCGTGGTTTCGTAATGGTGACCCCCCCCCCCCCCCCCTGCGAGGATTATCCACATTTAACTGCCCTCGCTCAGCCGGCTGATGTCCCTGGCCCCGTCTCCCGGACCCAGTGACTTTGTAGATAAGGAAGCCACCCGCTGGCTAAAATAGCACCCTCACTTCGCAATCCCTCCCCACCACCACCATCATCCCCTCCCTTACCGCTTCGCGCTACCCCCATCTATACCACTGCTCCAAAGGTAAAGGCAAAGATCCCCCCGTATAGCCTCAACAGACTGTTGAGGCAAGTGCTGTTAGCGAGCACCTATGAAGGCCGCCACGGCACACGAGGGAGTGCGTGGCCAGCACCGCGCCCGGCCGCCTTTGTCTCCCCATTGGCGATGTTTACACACCACACCAGGTACTCATTTGAAGCTGAGTCGACCTAGGGGAGGCCCAGGACCGGACCGGATGTTGGCCGTGAGCGGGACTCGAGCTCGCGTCGCCGGGTTCGTAGCACAGCGCGCTAACCACTGCGCCACCGCTCCCCACCACCGCCTCCTCCAACAGCGATAGCAGCAGCAGCATTCACGAGGCCCTCGCCACGCAGTAAACCCCCAGCCAGATGCCACAGCTCTAGCCGGGTGCCGCGTGTCGTCGTGGTGGTGGTGGTCGTGGTGGTGGTCGTGGTGGTGGTCGTGGTGGTGGTCGTGGTGGTGGTGGTGGTCGTGGTGGTGGTCGTGGTGGTGGTGGTCGTGGTGGCGGTGGTGGTGGTGGTAATGGTGGTGGTGGTGGTCGTGGTGGTGGTGGCGGCCCCAGCAACACGCCGGATGCATCGAGAATCAGAATCTGTATTTTTGCTGCAGGAGGAATCCGATGAGCTATTAAGCTCTTTTTCACAGATGCCCAGTTGTCCGCCGCCTGGTCGGTGGGTGCCACTGTTCTCCTTGGAGCTCATCTGTCTTCAGTAGTCGACAGATTATCCCGCAGGCCCACTGCTGTGGTGTTATGTCGATATCTCTCTCAACAGGAAAAGTAATGGTTTGGTTTTTTAATTTCGAATTAAGCTGTACGTGGTTAGGATTTTGGTATTAACTCCACTCGCGTGCCGCTTTAGGCTTATATATTAATGCCTTTGAGTGAGGGATATGAATCGTGATTGTATAAGAAATGCAGTTCCGTAAAAAAAATATACATACATATAGGGTAATAACCTCATTTACGTCTCTCCCGTTTTACGCTGTTTCGCAAATACGTCGCCGCCTTATTCACACCGCCACGTGATTAGCGTCGCCTCGACCCCACGCCTCTGTCGCTTGACAGCATCGTTCCTCCTCGCTCGTTACAAGTCGCGTCTCACAGCCCTCGCCTCCCCCCCGTCAATCGCCTCGGTCTGCGTCGTTTCGACAATCGTGGCCGCCGCACCTCTCAGGGAACGCGTCCCCCGACGTAAGAGCGGGGTTACCGCACGCGCTCAACGACGTAAGAGCGGGGTTACCGCACGCGCTCAACGACGTAAGAGCGGGGTTACCGCACGCGCTCAACGACGTAAGAGCGGGGTTACCGCACGCGCTCAACGACGTAAGAGCGGGGTTACCGCACGCGCTCAACGACGTAAGAGCGGGGTTACCGCACGCGCTCAACGACGTAAGAGCGGGGTTACCGCACGCGCTCAACGACGTAAGAGCGGGGTTACCGCACGCGCTCAACGACGTAAGAGCGGGGTTACCGCACGCGCTCAACGACGTAAGAGCGGGGTTAC